GGACCTAGAGCATGCTGGGTAACATGGTTTGTAAACCAACTGCAGACATTTGTGTTGGATAAAATAACTGGCGTGGATTTCTCAGTTTGCTGGACTATAGCTAACCTAGGGTTATAAACTACAGCAGAGAAAACCTGACTTGTCCTTATTCTCAGCGGTATCATATACTACTTCGCTTTAAATGTTTAGTGATGATAATTAGCATTTACATATCAAGGACAGCTGATTAGTATTGATCTTTTTTGAATAACTAATGACATATATATTTTTGGAATTTATTTTAAATTTTTTCCCACCTATGTTGTGGTTTCAACACCAAGTAGATTAGTACAGAAGCATGATGCAGATTAGAGGGTCTGGTTTAAAAACCCCTGCCAAAAAGAACCAAAAACAAATTGAAACTGAGTATGCAAGCAAACTAGAGGAAGGAGACATGTTTATTTGTGTCTTTTAAATTACTTTAAACACTGCCTAAATATTATCACACCTTTTGATTTTAGATTTTTGTTCTGTTTTTTAAGATAGTTAAAATCTGTATTGTGAAGGCTAAAATTCCTGCCTTCAGAGAAAAGTGCTATTTTTCTAAAGTTCTGTACAATTAATTTCTTGAAAATAAAAATATTCTGGGATGACATTTTTTGATTTTGCTGGATATCAAGTCTTTGCAATAACATATAGATGTTTAAGTGTGCAAATGGCAATTTTTTTCTATTAAAGGAGAGATTTCCATACCAGACCTCACCCCGTTGGATTTTTTTATAGATTTGTTTAGAATTACACCCATAATTTTAACTTTAAAAATCTTGCCTTTCACTAAAATCTGCCATTTGCAAAGCAAACCATTAGACTATGGCCTCAGTCCTGCAAAGACTTAAACAATTAAGCATGAGAGTAGTTCCATTAGTTAATGGGATCACTCGCACGCTTAAAATGAAACGTGTCCATAACTCTCAGCAGGACTGGGGCCTGTGTTGGGGAGCTGTTATTACTCCTCATAATGGCCTTGCAAGATGATAAGCAGAGGAAAATGTGTGTGCTCCTCAGGGAAAAACTCACATAATTTAAGGATCATCAAGTTTCTCTTCAGCTCACCCCCATTCTACAAGAGGCCAGTGTAAATGTTTTCTATTTTGTAAACTGTGAAACTGAGAACTGTGAAATAGTATAATTTAAGGATAGAGTGCAACTTCTGAATTTGAAATATATTGTTGTATTAAATTGGATCCATAATGTTACTTATGTGGGTTTATATGTCAATGTTTTTTGTGAATAAAAACAATCTCAATGGAATTATATGAGAGACTTCTGTAACACGGGGATTATTGATAGATCATTATGGTTTGGGGAGCTGTTAACGTCAGTTGCCAATGTGTACTTTTAGGGACTCTTAATGGACTGATCAATTGGGCTGTCTGTAACCCATTCTGTCATGTCAGTGGAAATATGTATTTCTAGAAAATGATACTTTATCTATAAATAGGGTGCATACATACTGTAAGAATGCATGAGAGAAATCCTCTAGCTTTTCTTAAAATTATTTTTTCCTGTCTTAGTAATACAGGCTTGGAGTGTTATCGATCATACCAACTGTCTATGAAAATATATTGTAAATCATACCCATTGTGTGTTGAGTATAAAACAAGATACTGAAAAAAAATCAGAATTATTTTAATTTAAAAATGGATAGTGTGTCTCTTCTTGGATGAGACCTTATATACCAAGTATCAGTTAGTTCATTTTAAGGTTGAGTGGTAAACACTGAAAATAGGGCTCTTTAATGGAATTGCTGACAGATCCTTAATTACAATGATGCTAACAGGTGCTGCTATAATATGTCAGAGTGGATTAGACAACATTCAGCTGCTTTGCAAATCAGGCCCAGGCCAGTGAGGTGCCATTTGCCCACAATTCCAGTTGCCTTCAGTGGGAGTCACACATGCTCAGCCCTCTCAAAAGATTAGCTTCTATATATCTACAGCCCAGATCCTGGCCTAAATAGCCAGGATGGGCATTGGGCAGATGAATCCCCCTCTCCTCCACCCCGATTGTGAAGCAGCTGTGGAATAATTTGAGGTCCCTTATGTAGACCCCCTACGGACAAGAGAATATATGCAGTGATGGATCTTTTGGCCCCACCGATACAGACGCCAAGCACAGAACTGCTGAGCTCTGTGCAGAGGGTGTGGCTCCATTGTGTCCAGCTTCTTTGTCCCGTTTGTGGAACAGAATGCAGAACCACAAATGGGAGTCCTGTTGTCATGGGTCCCTCTTTCCCTACAGAGAAGGGGGATGAATTTTTTACTCAGTGACGAAAGCACTGGCAGAAAAATTCCTCCTGTCACCTCATTAAAATAGCTGTTACTAATACATCAGTAAAATGACTTTCTCCTGAATGTTGTGTATAATCTTTTGCAGAGTAGCATACTAGCTACAGGACATTTCAAAAGAGAATTTATGATTGCATTTAGTAATCTATATTCTAGTTTAGTGGTTGATATTTAAATAATTTTTCTGTAGAGTCTTTATGCAAAGGAAAAAAAACTTAGTTCAGTTTGTATATTTTTATATTTTCCACAATGTGAGTACTAACTGCTTTTTAATGTTCTTTCTTAACAGTTTTAATTTGTGACTGCTATCCACTATTAAATTAGCATTAATAGATGGAAGGTACAGGTATAAGAGCAATGCAAAATGACCTGTCTGCAGCTGGCCAGTTGGGAATTTACCTAGCTCCTATTCCAACCTTCCTCTTCCCTCCATCCCTGGGTGTAGGTGGTGTGGTGTGGAGGAGGTGGAGCTCCTTTATGGCAACTTTGAGCTGGTATTACATTAAGGACCATAGCCAGCTGTTGTAAACTAGAGCATCCCCTAGGCTGCTCTAATTTACATTAGAGCCAGTGGTGGGGCAGGTTGAGAATCAGAAGTCATAACTGCCTCCTTGAAGCCCCCGCTTTGTCTGTACTTAGCATATCTTGATGGAGGAGAAAATCTGTCCTTAAATCCCCAAATATGTGCAAGATTAATCAAAAGAGCTTAATCCTAACCCACTGCAATATATTACTGTATGCCTGACTTTTTTTTTTAATTTGGAACTGGTAATGCACACATCTCTGTGAACATCAGAGTAACAAATATGTGAGTGTCTACGACCTCATTCACTGCTGATGTAAGCAGGCAACTCCACTGGCTTGAAAGGTGTAGCACCTGCCTACACTAGCAGTGAATTTGTTCCTAAGATCACAGAACATTGGCTTGACATTACTTTGCACATAGTATGTAATGTGATTTTTTTAAGCATGTTAGTTAACATATATTCTTAGTATCCACTTTTACAGTTAAATACCTGTTAATTTAAACTTAAAAAAAACTTTAGCTCAAGACTTCAAGTTTTGGACTAGATATCGGCTATGCCTTTTAATAAGTGAATTGTGTTTTGGTTAGAGCATGAAAAAATATATTTCCAAATGTATTTTAAGTTCTGTAGTAGAAGCATACCTGTGTCTCTAAACACCTTGACAGATTGCTTAAATATCTAATATTTTCAAACATTCTGTTTGGAAATAAAATGACTGTTAGCCACTATTTCATCAATATCTGGATGTCATCCAAGAGCCAAACAAAAATCTCTTGAGGACTTTTAGGATCTTCTGTTGAAGCGTTCGTGGGGATTATATCCGTGTATAAATATAAATAGGCTTCCTCATCAGTGTGCAACATTATGCTGTTAATGATAGAAGCTAAGCAATGTATAGCTCTGTTATCTAAAGTCCCAATTCAGACTTTAAGTACACAGATCTTGTTCTTTTGAAGGCAAAGACAATGCACCTATTTGCATTGTTTAAATGTAGCTACATATGTCTTAAATTTGTACAACATTTAAATTACATTCCCTTACCAAAATTGCTTTTTCAGCTGGCAGTTCCAATAACACAAACCCTAAAAAGTAGGAAAATCAATAATTAAGATATTCATTACCTGTCCAACACACCTTCATTTCCTTCTTTGAACTTCACATCTTCCCCTTCTACCAGCTACAGCATCTACCTTCTCACTGTGTGTATTCTTACCAAGAAAATGTCCTGATCAATGTTTTAATTATAGTTGAATAGAACTAATTTGCAAATGTTTGTATGGGCTTTGAGTATGTAAAGCATTCTGTAAGTGCAAGTGTTTCAAGAGAAGTTTAACATTTGAAGTATTGAATGCAGTTAGCGAGGGCCTGCCTTAATATTTTCATATGGTTATACTTCTGGCCCTTCCTCCTAATATATTAAAACCATGAACAATCCTTAGCGAATGTCATGTTTTATCTGACATCTGCATTGTAAATATAGATGGGAAAGAGATGATGGTAACATATGTCCTTCTGACATACTTAAAGATACAGCAGAGCTCTCAGTACAATTTTTAAAAAATGGAAGTAACTCCTTTATGAAACAGACTACAGGCAAAACTGTGGCCTGAGTGTGAGGATGCACATGGGAAAGTTAAGGAGTACTTGTGGCACCTTAGAGACTAACCAATTAACCAATTTATTTTCTTTTTGCGAATACAGACTAACACGGCTGTTCCTCTGAAACATGGGAAAGTTAGTCTCTTTCACACCCGACTTAGCTTCCTCTGGAACTAACAGCAAAATCTCCTGTGTGCTGAGGGAGGAGTCATATTGTTAGGCCTGCTCTGATCCATCCTGCCCTTCAACTGTTGGGAGATATTAGGAGGTGCAGCTGGCATCACCTCATATCTTATGGTAAAGACAGGCTTTCTGTTCATGGTGGTGTATGTATTGTACAATGCAAGATAGTTTGTCTTCAGAAATTGAAAAGCTTGATTTAATGTAAGTAGTTCTTGGTAGCAGCCTGAATGTGTGTGGGGGCTGGGGTGGGGGGTAAGCAGGCTGAATGTGTGTGTGGGGGAAAGCACGAGTCTTGTGCTTGAATCATTACCTTGGTGCACAGAAGCTTAGGTATTTCTATTCTTGTTGTTTTATTTCCTTTTAGTGGTGTTCGGTGGTGAAAAAGAACATCCTGTTTGTGAAAGCATCCATGGAAGAGGGAACAGGGCCTCAAAACCTGTTGAAAGATGCTATTTCTTTTGGACTGGTTGCTCTTTTGTACTAAAAGACTGGTGATGCCTGCTTAATGATGGTGTAGCCCTAGTCAGTTGCCCAGGGTGGTGTGGGACTATACAACTCCTCCTCCTCCTCTCCCCCCTCCACCCCCCCGCATCAGACTGGAGCTCAACCCAGGATGGTGGCTGGGAGAAATACATCATCCCTTTGGAAGCATGGCCGGTGACAGCAGTCCCCTTTTAAGGGACAGGCTAGCGTGTCCCTATGCCTCATGGGCATCGAGTGTGAGTTGTCACTGCGGGGCTGAAGCAGTTGTCCCGTTGCCTTAAGGAGAAAGGTTTGAGGGTAGGAGGCCAGCGGGCACAGTGCCCTTTCCCTGCGGGGGAGATGGGGGCTGTGCGCTGGACTGTCTCGCCCCGCCTCTGGGCGGCTCGGGACTGGCCTACTTGTGCCTCCCTTGCCCCTGCTGCAGCCTCGGCTAAGGCTGGCCCTTGTCTTCCCTAGCGAGCGCTTCGCCGTTGCTTTCAGTGTGGCTGGAGCTGGCAGTGCAGGCGCCTCGCGGAGCCGCTCCCGCTCCTTCCACGCGCTGCGCTCCGCTCCGCATTTTCCTGACGTCCGGGTGTGTGCCTTATTCTTGGGGCTACCACACTAACTTGTTGAGCTGCGCTGGCCCTAGCGCCTCTTGCCATTGGCCGGTGCGGCATAGCCCCATGGGCGTGCGGGCCGTGTATTGGCCGGGCCGGGCCGTCCATCAGCGAGCGGCGGACTGCGTCAGGTTGGGTTGAGCGGCGTCCCCTTCCCTGCTCAGTGTCTGGCGGCGGCTGCGGCGCCGGTGCGGGCGGAGGGGCGCAGGGAGGGCGGCCCGTTCGCTCGCTCGCTAAGATGGCGGCGGCGGCGGCGGCGGCCGTGGCCCGGCTGGAGGGCCGTGAGTTCGAGTACCTGATGAAGAAGCGCTCGGTGACCATCGGCCGCAACTCGTCGCAGGGCTCGGTGGACGTGAGCATGGGCCACTCCAGCTTCATCTCCCGGCGCCACCTAGAGATCTTCACCGCTGCCCCCCCCGCCGCCACCGGCCGGGGCGGACGGGCCGCCGCCGCCTCAGGGGGACGCCGCCGCCGGTGGCGGGGACTTCTACCTGCGCTGCCTTGGCAAGAACGGGGTCTTCGTGGACGGCGTGTTCCAGAGGCGGGGGGCGCCCCCGCTGCAGCTGCCCCGAGTGTGAGTACGGGGGAGCGGGCCGGCTGCAGCCCAACATCCTCTGGGCCGGCCTGGCCGCCCCGGGGAGCGAGCCATCCCCATCGCTCGGGAGCGCTGCCCCTGCCTCCCCGGGGACCCCCTGCTGGAGGGCGGGTGGTGCTGCCTCCGCACGCCGGCTGCCCCGTTTCCATTTTGCTGGCACATGGTGCATGACAGGCAGGGAGTCCTTTCGGTGCAGGGGCCACGCATCATGAACCCCATCGGTACGTCCCCCAGAGCACCCCATCGACAGCCAGCCAGGGCTCGTTGCAGCCATCCCCGTGAACGGGCTTTGCGGTGGGTCCTTGCTTCCTTGTCCCCCATGCGGGGTGCCCCGGCTGGTGCCCCTGATCTGTGTCCATTCCACCAACATTCCTCTTCCTTTGGGTTGGCCTGTTAGATACAGGTGGCAAGCATAAAATTACAGGAGCATTAGGGCTGTCTTTTGGCCACTAATAACCGTTTTCCCTCTGCTTCTCTCGCACATAAGTGTGCAATAATAGTGCCTTGTGGGTATAAACTAGCCTGCACCACTGCTTGGAGCTATTACTGTTGGTAAACAGAATTGAATACACTCTTGCGTATTGTTTGTGTGTTGCAAAGGAGAACACAAGTTATGTGTTTATCCACGTATCTGGGATTTCAGATCAGCACTAAGCAAATTTTGTGGTCCCATTTGTACTGTTTTAATAAGTTTTTGTTGTATTTTCTGCATCTTCTGTGTAGTTTTAAGACTAGTTTTATATTTGTGGTTAGCTAAATTGAATTGTGTTTAAAATATTCATACTCAGAATTTTAACATGTAGTTCTTTAGGTAATTTAACAATGAAGAGAGTTTGCAAACAACAATATATTCCTTCACTTTTAGCAAATCGTTTCTGCAGAATATTTTTCTGGTGAAGTGTGTGAGGCCTGGTATTTTTAAGGGTGCACTGAACTACAAATATACATTCCATCCTTTGAAGAATTATGTGGGAAAAGTGAGGTGTTTATCACAGTCTGTGCATCCAAAATATTTCAAAAACATAGCATATCTTAACTAAAATATATGAAAATGTTGTTTTTCATTATTTCCGGAAGAGTAGTTGTAAAATGTTTTAGGGGTGTGTTTCACAGGAAGCATGCTGTCACTGACAGAATCTTGTTACCGCGCAGGTTTTTAACTTTATTTTGGAGAATGAGAGTGTGGCTTTGCTATTTAGATGTTTTTATGCAGTTTAAGCAATTCACCTATAAAAATCATACTATCTTAAACCTGTGCTTTCTAGGAAATGCTATAATTCTGAAAGGGCTTGTTAAGGAGCTGTGTGTGTAGTGTTGTATAATCATAAATACAGTTGGATGACTTGTTTGACCTTTAACAACTATAATTTCTATTTTTGCTTTTTTTTTCTATTGTAATAAGCATGTCTGTCATATGGCTAATCTGTTTTTTCTTTTCTTTATAACTGGCTTTTAAAATATTTTTATCTCAGGATATTTGTTAAATACAGGAGCAAGAATGCACTATTTTTTTAAATCTGTGTATTTAATTTTAAACAAGTCTTTAAATTGGTATATGATGTACTGCAAACAGATTTAAAATTAATTTGAGCAACTTAATCTGGTAGCAAATTTCCACTAAAAACCGAAGGTCATCAGAAGCAAAACACATTACAGTCACTGTGTGCTTCTCCTGTTACGTTATCAGTGTGGGTCTTGAATTGTATTTTGCTTTAATCCTTTTAAGTCTGTAATTTGCCACATAATTCTAATGGGGGCAGAAAATGTTAACTTGTGTTCAGGGTAATTTTTACACACATCACAAAATTTTGCATAGTAAACAAAGGGAAATTTTTATATAAGGTTAAATTATCTTGTGAGCATAGGCGGAGTTAAGTAAATTAGTATTTGAAAGTGATTGCAGCAAATGATTGCATGATTATTTGGACTGTACACTTTTAACATTAACTAACTAACTTGAAAGCTTGACAGTTAAAGTAATATTTCCTGGCTACAGAATGTAATTAAGTTGAGCCTGGTAAACAGGGTAGCACACTTGCAGTCATTATCAGAAATTGTAGAACAACATTGTACGCTAAGTAGATTGTGATTTCTTTGAGAGATGTGAGGATAACTTTTAAAACTGTAAGAGCAGGCAAAATTGATAATGTCACCAGTAGGCTGTTGAACGAGATCTGCTTTCTGCTAAATGCTTTTGGATGGCTTATGATCTGTATCATTGCTGAAATATTTAAAAGCCCACTTGTGTGGAAGTTAAGCCTTCAAAAAATGTATAGCATATTTGTAGCTTTCTAAGTTTAGCAAAGTTCTTTTGCAGCAGTGCTTAGGCAAATCTAAAGCAGACATCAATTACTTATACCAAGTAATTACTATGAAATGTTGATGACTAATGTTGTTCATTGAAGCCATGTCCTTGAATTTCACTGTGGATTTAAACTGACACATTGAATGTTATCTGCAAAGATTTAAATAAAAATAAAACTACTTTGAGTCCAGGTGAGCTAAATATATTAAATAGCAAGTTATGTATTTTAATTCAAAAATATATTATAATTTCAAAGTGAGTGATGCAAGTTTCATATCTTCCTACCTATGGCCCAGGTGATTACTCAGACTTAAAAAGAAGAAAAAAAAATCTAGTAAATTGCCCGCAATATTCCTGGCTTGTGATAAAATTGTAGTTTTAAAAATTGTCCAGTGGCAAATATGCTTTAAGCAAATCTGAAACCTGCTTGTCCCCTCTTTGTTTCAGTTTTTTAATATGTCTCAACCTGATTAAGAGGCTGGAGACTAATCCTACATTTCCATTGTTATAAAGAATATTTGTAGATGTATGATATGTATTTCATAAAGATAAAAAATACTGCTGTAAACTTTTACACCAAAGTGGTATTCCACTAGTTAAGGCCTGGAAGTTTACTTGTATTTAAACTGTTACACCTGAATATGAATGTCTTCTGGAATTAAGCTTTGGGATGCTATGGGATAATCTCCTGAATATACGTGTGGGTTTTTTTGTTTGTTGTTTTTGCTGTTAATGGCCACTGTTTTTGTAGGATCTGAACACGTTGTGTGTGTTCAACCAATTGCAGTAGATAACTCAGCAACCTTATTCCCAGAGCAGTTTTGATCTAAGTGCTTGTGCAGTAACAGGGAAGTAAACAAAAATCCAGGGTAGTTTCAAATTCTAGTAAAAGGCCAGGGAAATTGGTGTCCTGATGGTAAAGGGCACAATTAGTAAAGATGAAAGAAAACCGTTCCCAATTTCTCAGTGGTAATGCAAACAATTAAACTTAAAACAAAAACTAAATACCACAAACCCATCTACTCTTGAAAAAATAATTGAAATGTCTAATTTTTGTCACTGTCCCAGCTGAGCATCTAAAATTACAAGGTTCATAGCCTCTGACTTCAGTACAATTAATATTTGAACATGATATAATTAACATTTTAATGTTACAGTCCTACCTGTTCCTGGAAGTGGGGAACTGAAATAAAATTTGTCAGTCTCCTGCAGAATACATACCTTAAGAATCTGGGAAAAGGGAAGCTTTGACAGTTTGGTAAACAAAGTGGCATATTTGTTTCAATAATAAAGAGTGGTACAAAGATGAACACCATGTAATGTTTAATTACTGTTGATTAGTTGACTGTCTTAGTCACTGCAACTTTGTTTTGATTATACTTCTCTGAAACTTTCAATCACAATGTAAATGTCTTTTCAGTCAGGAGGCACTATTAGTGGGAGCAGTGTGGTTTTTGTTCCTAGGCCTAACAGATTTGCATATATACTAACTGCATGTCACTTTGCTACATGAACAAAATGGGGAAAAAATTAGTCGCAATTTTACACTCAACAATAAATAGCGCTTCGCTCAGTATAAGCATTCTGAAGCATGACATAAAGTGTTCAGAAACCTGTTAAACTACTTGAGTTTGCATAGCTTTAAGTAAAACCTGTTGTAATTACCTTTGAAAGACGCACAGTTTGACTTTTTTTATTAAGTAGTTTCTAAATTGGCTCCAGTTGAAGTTTGTGTCAGAACTTCCACTGGGTTCATTGGAAATTGGATTGGGCCAATAAATAGTAATGAAATTGGAGAATTGAATTTTAAAGTACAGAATGTATTACATATATTTTTCTCCCATGTTGAGCAGAAATAGAAGGTAAACCTATAATCGTAAACCTCTTTCACCTGACAAGGGTGTAGATTTCACCATAGTGCGGTACAAATTTTTTTTATCAGATGAGGACAACTACAGCACATCTAGGATATTGAAAATAAGTGTGATGTAATAGCTGCTGCGTGTCTTAAGGAAGTAAAATCAGTAGTTATACTTGTAAGAGTGTATGAATCACTGTTTTGAAGGAGCCACAAGTTCAGTCCTTCTGTCAGCTGGTCAATAGGAGCTCAAAGTACATTACAGCATTTTAGCAGTTTATTTGAAGAATGAAAATTATCTTTCTTGCTGGGAGTAGAAGCAGTTAAGTTTTTATAGAATTTTTTTCATACTGCTGTCACTAGTTAGGAATTATTTTTTAGACAGGCAGTAATGCACACTTGAGTGCTTGAAGGTACCTGAAACTTTGGCCTTAAGTGTCCTAATACAACACATCTGGTATTAGTGTATTTTGATTAAACCATAGACTTGTATATCAAGGATTACTGATGGGTTTTGGTATCCTAAAAATGAAGTAATAAAAAATACTATTTAGTATGCAAAACAGTAGTATGAAAATAATGTAGCAAGGCATATAATACTTCCAACTCACTGGACAAGTACAGGTTTCAGAGTAGCAGCCGTGTTAGTCTGTATTCGCAAAAAGAAAAAGGAGTACTTGTGGCACCTTAGAGACTAACCAGTTTATCTGAGCATAAGCTTTCGTGAGCTACAGCTCACTTCATCGGATGCATTCAGTGGAAATGAATGCATCCGATGAAGTGAGCTGTAGCTCACGAAAGCTTATGCTCAGATAA